TGACTGTATGGTGGAATGAGACATTACATATATGTTAAAATGTTGTGTGTTCCGTACTACTGCTCCACCGACGGGGAAGCAGCGCAGGGGTCCCTTCCAGACACCGCGACCTTCAGTTGCGCTTCAGCACTCCGCGCGCCGATACATCAATCAAATTAGTCTATTTTGTACATCAACTTTCATTCTTATTATAATACAATCATCAGCAACCAACCAGCATTTCATTACAACATACAGTCCACTCGCTCAACAGTGTAGTTTACAAAAAACAAAAACACAACGTTTACTATCGCGTTTCCGTGTACCAAAATATATGAACAATGCAAGAAGTATAGAATTTCTTTTTTGTTTTACATTATTGAAGATTACAGATCGATTCAATTCCTTACAAAGTATTATTTACAGATATAACACTAATTACAAGAATCACGGAAGCTTGCTGACAGAATAAATATAAAAATATACATTGTCTCTGAAAATTTGGGGTCGATGCTCAACGCCGGAGACCAGGTGACATCAGCGCACTCTACATGACATCACGCAGCCCATTTTTGTCACATTTAACACATCGTCGGAAATGTCATGACACTAATTAAAAAAACAATCTCTGTATACGTCTGTCTGAGTCGCCAAATATTGAAACTCCTTCAATATTTTCTTATTGTGGCATTTTGAAGATAAACTTTCTACCTAACATTATGGGCTGGGGTGCTATATAGTGAATGATGACATGTGCAAAAGTTGCTTTATTAGTTTCACTCGAGAAACTCACTGAAACATATAGACAATGTGCGTAATAACGTGTAATTTGATTACTCTTTTGACATGTTGAATGTAACATTTGTGTTTGGTATTAAAATAGTGTGCCGAGAATGTACATGTTTGGAAGACTTGCTTTATTAAAGTAGTACATTTCACAGTTCCGAGGCGTGCCGAGTAGCGATCCTGTTCGCCGTGGACCACCGCCGCCGCCGCCGCCGCCGCCGTCACGCGACTATAGTCCTGTACCTCGTGAATTACACTAAACGTCAACTGCCAACGAACTTTTTTAGTCAGTTTTAATTGCACAACTATATACACAAACACATATGTTATTCAATTTTTTATGGATGTTTCCGCAGTCGACATTACTTTTAGACACTGCAGTCCTTTATAGTGAAAGTGATACATTTGAAGGTAAATAGCATTAAAACTGACGACCACGTTAGCGATAATCCACTGCTCAACCAATAAACAATTGGCGCTTCGAAATAGTGTGCGCCGTATAGGATGTTTTGTAGCGCACGCAGGCACGCGAACACGTTCGCCCTCAGTCTCCGAAACGGAACACTACACACAGTAAAGATATTTGTAAACATCTATACCATTGCTAGCTGTGACGCTTTATTCCTGCAACTTGCAATGACTTTAACAATATAAAAGTAAGCATAGGAAGTACATGCAAAAGCTGTGACAAATTAAACACAAATCCCAGGGAAAAGGGTATATTGATTTTTACTTGTATCTAATCGTAAAAAGCGATACGATTTAATCACGATCAGTGAAAAGTTTCAAGGACTTTGATAACTTTCGCCCGAAATTACCAATATATTTAATTTAATATGAACATTGGATAACGGTATAGAAGAGAGCTGTACTCTGTACTATAGTGGTATCAAGGCGGTATGAATTTGGCGCAAAGCGTTGTTTTATTATAGTGAAGAGAATGAGGTCGGCACGCGCACGTAGCAACGCGGAAGCGAGGCCGCACCCCGCCTGCGACTGCGCCGCGCTGCCCGAGCCGGCGCCCGAACACCGTTCGAAATAGGGAATAAATTCAGCGAAAGGGAATTAACTAGAATTTTCTAAAATTATAGCAACGGCGTAAGTCGAATAGTTGTGTTGCGTCACCTGTTTATAACGATTTTTATAAAAAACGATACGCCGTTATCTATACAAAATATTTAATTGGTGTAGAACACCATTCAATATATCTAGCATGTAATCCAAATGAAAGTGAAAAGCGCCTTCAAGGTAAACCCAAAAATCGCTGAATAAATCAGTAAAGGTAGTGTGTTTTAGCCAAATAAATTCTTGAATTTCGTGAGGGGAAAGTGGGCAGCGACCAGAAAAACATCTCCTTTATATCAACGTGGTTACTTGAAGGAAAAACAAATTGCAGGCTTGCAAATAAAAACAACTGTAAATAGAGCACTTTCTCGTTGCGAGAATAATTAATATCGATCAATGTGAATGTAATAATAGGCGTCAAGTGGCAAGTGGCACGCGGAGGTGAAAGCCCGGCTTAGCCAATAATTGCAGCGGACACGCTCTCTGTTAGTGATCGACTGCCGCGCCGAACCGCGTCAGGAGCAGGGGACGAGGGTACTAAAAAACAATAGTTACCTCACAGCAGAATATGGTATACATAACATTGACCACACTTCAAGAGATATCGAAATTTGTAACAAATGCACTCGAGCGTTCAAAGGCCCTTCTAAATATGACGACCCTTTAAACCGCACAACCTCTTCCCGTCCAGCAATTACGGGACATTACCTGACCCACTGAAGTGTAACACAGAGCAAAGGGGGCAATAATAGCAGGTTACGGTACAGCAGGCTAAGTGTACTGACTGACAGCCAAACTAATCTGCACTGGAAACGGAGTTGTAATAAATGAGAAAATTAAATGAAAGCAATCTAACAATTTTGTACGGATTGTTTTATGGCTATGTGTGTCTGAAGTAGAACGGCGAGGGCGAATGAAGTAAAGCCGATTACGAAGTAAGAACTGGATGCAACTCCTCGGCCGTTGTTTGCATAACAATAGGGCTGCTCCCACTCACACTCAAACTGAATCGCACTCTCGCAGCTGAGATTAACTCGTTTCCAAACGTAATGTATAGTATACACCGTTGTGTCCGTTTATACATATTGCAAAATCACCGATCATTCGCATTGTTATTCATTCAACAAAGCGATTTATTGACAAATCAAATAACAAAGGTATGAGTAAGCGCTGACATTGAAACAATCTGACAAAAACCTATTAATGAAATATAATTGGTGCGATTGGATTTTAACGAGGCAGAACATTAGCGAGGCAGGGACATACAGATGTATACATTTCGGATCCTAACCTCGGCTAATGCTGTTCATTAACCTGGGGAGCTCCCTAATGAGGATTAATTTAATTACGAGATTCCATTGAATAACATATTAAAAAACGCTATCGACCCGACCGATTTCAAAATATGTCAAAATGTTAAAACAAACACTCAACTTTCATCTACTCTCAATACTTATTATTTCCACAACCGAAAAATATATTATTAAAGCCAAAGATCTCCACAAAGCATTAAGCGCGGCAGGTCGCAACGCGCACGAATCTCGATCATGACTCGGCATTCGTGCTGCGGATTACATTGTAGTCCAACTCGGAGCTCGCAGCACGGAGCGGAGAAATTATAGCTCACGACTGCCACCCCTTCCCCACCCTGCCCTCGACCCCACCCCACTCAATGAGCAAAGAACTATTTATCAATTTAAACAATAACTATACTTTGTAAGACAGCATCATTGCTATTATCAATATCAATATGATAAAAAAATATTTTATCCAAACCGACATTGCTTTTTTTTATATTGCAGTAAAGTATAGATCAAGGCATGTGTGGCGTCAGCCCTATCGTTAAATAAACAGTGACAGCAGGCGCGGCGATGTCAGCTGGTGGCACGAGGCACGCGCCACCCTCCCGGCGTCCTGGCTTCCCGCGGCCGAGAATGACGGGGGACGCCAGGACGCCGAGAATAACGCGAGGAGCTCAGTACAAAGGGGAGTAACTAAAAGGAACGCGGTGCGCCTTCATCTCTATTACACGCCTTAACAAGGATTCGGTGGCGAATTACAATGAAAAAATGAGAGCGACGTTACCAGTTATCACACAACTTACACGAACAGAAAGTATTATTCTTATCGAAGGTCACATTTAAGACCACATATTGTCCATATATCAATAAGCTTTTACGTTCATTAACCCCAATGCACATGGGTTGACAGAAATAACTATCTCTAACCACTTGTCACCAAGGGAATTAGATGCCAAATGTGACAATGGAAAACGAAAGTTCACTGGTACTGGGCAAGTATTTAAAAAAGTTTGTAGCATCTTGAACAGGTAAATTTAAAGAGGAAAATAAAGTTAGAAGTAAATAAGACTGAAATGAAATGAAGTGAAGTCAATGATTTCAGAGAAGTGTTGTATGAAGTTGTGCCAGAGAGAAGTAAAGCGACAAATATTTTAACACGTTTGACTAATTTAATTTGCGAGAACAGCGCAGCGCAGCGCAGGTGAATGACTCGCGCAGCAAACGCGAACGCGATATGAAACCCAAATATATTATTACAACGAATTAACTAGATCGATTACTTTAACACAGACTCCTTTTACAATACCTTAATATTTTAAACATGAATAGCTTCGATGCTTTATAATTTAAGTGTAATATAGTATGCGCTATAAAATATTACATAAATTTACAATAGTATATAGCAGAACACATTCAAATAATTTTTGTTCCAAGAATAACACGAAAAAAGGGAAAAGAAGTTTTCATCATTCACAGTGTAAAATTAAAGTGCATGTGTTATTGAAGTCAGCAGAGAGCAGGTGTACGAAGCGAATTCAATAGCGCTGCTATTTTGTTTGTTTAAATCCAGTCCCACATGATTCGCACCACCTCGCACATTCGACGACCAAATATAGACGATGACTTAACCCTACCAATAAAGAAAAGTAAATTATAATGAGCGGACGTTATCTAGTGCTTGCGCGATAACGCTCAAATAGCCGCGGAATCGCCGGGAAACGGATAACTAATGCGACGCCAAGGCCGCAGTGTTAATGACGTAACCGCGCAACAATAGTTGTGAGAGCACTAAATAACAACAAGTTTAGAGCCGTGAGCCGTGACGCCAGCTCCTATAAGCAACTGCTGCAACACAAAACGTATGCTGACCTTTCTTTGCTTGTTTCTCGCGCTCCTTTTCCTTTTCCCGCGCCTTCTTTTCCCTCTTCTCTCGCTCCTGCTTCTCCTTCTCGAGTCTTTTCATCTCTTTCTTCATTTCCTTCTCGCTTTTCTTCGCCTTGGTGTCATCGATTTTCTCGGACAGGATGAAGGTCCCCGTTTGGAGCTTAGTGTCCATCTCGTCCTTCGGCCTCATCTCCGTACCAGCACTGCACTAGTCGCGACGGTATCTCTCCCTAGGTAATGCACTCTCGGTGTATTGTCGGGAAGGAGGGACGATTCGGTGCGGTTCGACCGCGAGCCGATACTTTATCACCAACAAGGACCGCGACCGATTCGATTATCTAGAGTACCGGTATGATCACTGTCACTGAGGCGGTGTGGCACAGAGCAAACGTGCGTTTGCGACGGACGCTCGAGCGGTACTGGCCGGCGCGCGCGCCACGCGTCTCTCCCCGCGCTATAAATAAGCTTTGCTTCCTATAGTGCATGGTTGTATAGAATCGGAGGACGATTTATGGCCGTTGAACCCATGAGAGCTTTTCACATGTGGTGACTAAGAGGCAGCCTCCGGCCGAGTCCCGAGGTGTGAGCGGTTTCGGTGCCAAGGTCGTGGCGACTGATGGTTTATTGGCGAATGTGATATCAAGGTCGCCGCGCCGGTGAGGCGGAAGAGGGAATATTAATTATACGATTTGCCAACATTAGGATGAGGACAATGATAGTAATTAGCAATCTCAACAATATTCGATGAGTTCGTTATACTAGGTATATGAACTATATTGTAACATTACATGAACAACTCAAACGTAATAACAGGATGGATGAAACCTGTCCTGATAACGTGACTCAAAAGTCGTCTGGAGACTATGAAAAGTTAAAAGGAACAAAAAGCAGCGAAACATCGCCTCGTCAAACCTGTAAGTTGCGAAAGACACAGCGACAAAAATCGGGTCGTCCGTAAGAAAAGAAAGAAGGCGATAAAAGGCACGTTTCCTGCGTGCGTGCAGCGGACCGCGGCGCTGGGAAACTGCCATGTGATCTGACCGGGCATAGAGACATTGTAAGATAGGACAGACAGGCGATACCTCTCGCGATACACTACACACATCATTACAAACATTTCACAAGGTTTTTAGAATACTACGGGATCTTTGTAACTGTTTATGTTATTAACATCAAAGTCTAAACAAGAATACACTAATTATAGTCTTACTAGCTTTTACCAGCGATTTCGTCCGCGCGAAATTAAAAAAAACAATGCAGAATTAATAATAGTGTTTATATACGCATTTATAATATTATAAGATCTATTCCAAAAATATGTAATTATTATTATTAGTAACAGTAAAATTGAAGTAAATATCATAATTGTCAGTCATAAACTATCGGATTTGCTGCTCGCAACTACGGAAACCGAGCACCTGATATAAAGGCAAGTTTGCACTAACTGGAAAACTTTATGTTTAATACCAAAAAAAGACTGATGTGAATAGAATGACGTCAATCGTACACACATCTAAAGAGGATAATCCACGCGTAGTCTCGAACCACACGGTAAACTCTAAAATTGAAACCTTGTTTGCTCGTGAGATTGTTAACAATTTCACAAACAAATATAAATACATAAAATATTGACAGCAATTAGGTAATAAATTAATCAAAGAAGTGTTATAGTAGACTGTAGCCCATAAACTGATACAAAGTTGAGAGGATGGGAAGTGGAATTGAAAATAAAGTCTAAAGTGCAATTGCGAATGTCTATGGGCAACGATTGCATTACTGTTTCGGTGAATACAGGTGGCCGCTTGATAATTTCGTTACTTCAAGCATGCCGTGTATTAATTTTATATTATCCCTCGTCACTCGACGAGCTGTGAATTTTCGTTGAGCGCGCACGATTACCCGCTCTCGTAACGATGATAACAAGAAATTACCTTCAATAAACAAGGTGGCCAGCCCTTGTCCTTACGTAAGCGCTTTCCCTCGGCCCTGCGCACACCAGCTGTCTGCACGTATAGCGCTGTAACTTTTGCTTTACTCTACTAATATAGTTATTATTGCCTCCATACAAAAAATAATTCATATATAAACTCTTTCTTAAATGTATAAATTATTATTATTAACGAAACAATTTGCACGGCTTCATTGTGTCTATCTACATAAGTTTAGTTTCAGTCAATATCTATAGGGTGTACAGGGTGTACTCTGGACTGTGTACCTACATAAAGCCGTCTAGCTGTGTGTAAGCTACGTACAGACTAGAGGCGCCATCTCGCGGCCGTACGCTAATTATAGAGGCGCGGCGAACATTCCTGCTGCTCACTCAACTGAACTCCGCTCTACCTTAAGTTTTTCATATCAATAATACAAGATAATTAATTAGTAACGGAACAAAATATTATAAGAAAAAAGCTAATAATAATCCTGATCAAATGTCCAGTAATACTTAGCACCAGCAGTATTGTATTTATCGACACGAGATGTCGCGACGTACACGTTGTAGTAATGGGGCCTAGGTCGAGCTTATCTCTCGAACGGTGCAGTAATGCTGGCCACTTCAACTCAAACGTACTCGTATCTGAGACGTACGCGATGCCACTTCAAACAATAACATCGACCGACTGAACCACTGAACATGACCTGTAACGGTCCATATCAATATATGTTATGTAGGTTGATCCGAAATTTATTTGAATTATTCTATATGAAACGGACAACACAACTTTTCGTTCGCGCTCTAAGAAATAGATTATGTTTTTCGTTATATTGGAAACATTAATTAAAAGTATTAATTACAAGTAGCGGAAAACAAAAATGGTTCTAGATCGATTTCAGCGGTAAAAGAGCAATTAATTGAGCAGTGTATTGTGTATTAAGGAGAGAGTTGTATTCGCAATGAGTTAGAGACGGTCGTGTTACCGGAGCGTTATCTAATCGTGTTCGCTGCGCCCGATAGTAGCTCACCATCTTAATACTGCATTGTTCTTACTTCAATAACATTAAAATAATTTAAAAAATTACTAGTTTGAATGCGATGACATCAAGTTGCGAGTGCCAGCCGGCCCCGGCCTGCGCCGCTGTTATCTACAATTCAATGAGGTGTGCGCGACCTCAGTTCGCGGAATTGCGTCTCATTTATCTCCATGCTCTCTGCTTACACACTCATATCATTATTTATATATTTTCATCTCGACATATTTTTATAAATGTTGTGCTAAAATATTTTTAAGGTCGTTATTAAGCTATTCATAGGTAAAGTTATGCGCTTTCATAGTTTCTATTTATGTGGCGGTTCCGAGCCATCGCGTCGTGTCGCACATTTCCCCCGGTATCAATTGCTGGCGCGCCGAGTGGACACGTCCGGGTATAGGGTTCCAAGCGGAACGATATTATAAGTACTATTTGACTATGTCGGTAGGTGGCGCAGCGGGTGCAGGACTAGTTTCTATATATGTGGAATTAAGACGTTTTCTTTCCACAAGGGACGTTATAATTATAGATATTATTCGATCGAGTGCCTCAATTTGTCGCTCATGCCAGCGGGAAGTCCGGCAGATTGGAAAGTAGGCGGTGGCTGTGCACTTTCAAATGTGTACAGATACCTAATAACTACTAAGATTACGGGATCAGTTAACTTAATAATGGACAAGCTAGACATAAGTCGAATCCCATCTATGTTACAACTAAACAAACTAACAATAAAACGTTCCCCCTCAAAGCGAGTCACTGACACTGAGTTTAATTACTAAGCCACATGGTCAAATAATTCCATTCTCATAAATGAAAACGATTAATTGTAGTATTCACTCCCTCATCTCTTACAAAAAATGTATGCATCTATGCATATACAAATCTGTAATAAGGTTTCGAACACTTTTTGGGCAATTTCCTGTCCTAAAGAGCTCTTTTGCAAAATCGTCTATCGCCTTAGGGATAATAGCGTTCACTTTTGTTACGGCGCTCGTTATAACGCAAATATAAATGCTTGTGAGTTGAGTGCTGACTGCTATTATAAATACACTCAAGTGTTTAATACAACTTATTTGTATCGATAATTTAGCCTAACTATTCAAATTTAACTCAAATGTTTATTGGAAAAAAAGCAAACATGCGACTTTGCTTATCTTTCTCTAGTTTACATTTTTTTACATTCACCTTCTTTTTCACAAAGTACACAGATTCAGAAGTCTATCTCCAATGGATGCTGTTGGCAAGCAATCATTTAAAAAAGATATCTCCTTCAATAAAATCCACTCGAGAACACTCATGAGGCTCATTGGGCCATGGTCGTTGAAAAAACAAAAACAAAAAAAGGGTCATGGAAAGCCGATACAAAGGCTAAAAGCGATGACATAATGCATCGGCTTGCGCAATGCACGCTCCCTCCCTCCCGCGACCGCCTGCCGACACGCTCTTGTACACACGTATTACAACATTCAAACTTCTGTTAGCTGCGAGTGTACATAAGTCTTACGAGGTTGGTATTAAGTAGATCCGCTGCAGGGGACAGAAAAGCATTTTACACAAGAAGAAAACACAAGGCACCTCTCTCTCGCATCTCTTTACGTTTTACTGATTCATTCAATTATGTTCAGTTTGTGTATCGTGCGATATTCCGAGCCGCCATAGAGTTTGAATGGCATGCCCACGCCAAGTTGCGGACTGCGATTGTGGAAAGTCCCGAATGAATTGCGAGACAACGCGTTACCGCAAACCGAGGCCAGACCCACATCCACATTCAAATGCATAAATCATACGACATGATTCGCCACCTATAATAAATAACTTCTCTATTCCTCTGAAAACAGCTAACAATCGTCGTCGCCATATTCCCACCAAGGTTGAAGTGAGAATCGATGTGTCGATTAACGTCGACGGTTATTGGTCGGCGGCTCGCCTTCACTTTAAGTTCAATATGCGTCCATTGACTCATCACTCATCCTACCGACAAAAGAACTGAATCTAAAGTTCGCGGCCCTTGGTCACTCTCCCTCTGTCACGACGATCCAAATAACACTTCTCCACCGCCTTTACATGAGTCAATTATTGGTACATTAACAACACATTAAGGTGTACGCTACGACCCCTGTCGGATGTGGCCAACCGCCGCGCCACGCCGCGACCACAACACTTAGAATAAGGGTAAGGGTAACAGTTGTCACCTCGCACAGGAAACCTCCTGGTTGTTTCAATTGCAATGTGGTTGACACTTTTTATCAAGTGTAGTAATTATTAGCGAGAATTAAAAATGTTTTGTAGAACATTCTAATCGATTACGCTTGTAAAATAAAATCATTTATCCCACCATTTGGGAGAACAAAACATGAATTATTCGATTGCCTTTGTAAGGGCAATCGCATTTTGTTTGTTTTCAAAAGCTTTTGACATGGCTGGAGCACGTTTTGTTCTGCATTATATCAGGGGCGATGTGGGCGCGCGGTAGGTCG